TAAGTAGAAAAAATGAATCTTCTTGAAATGAATCTTGAATTATGTTATTATGTTTCTGGTAGCATACTAGATATTTTCATGGATTTAACAACTTCAGTGGCAGCAGATGATACTGTTTTCAGCCCATTTTCAGTGATAAACTTTTCTCATGTACATATGTATTGCATATTTATTGGGAATAGACATTATTATTTTCTGAAATGCCTTCTTTTGGAGAAGGTTCCTATTCATGCTGTTTTCTTCATGTCTTTGATAAATTCTTTATGAGAATCATAGTGTATAACTTGGGGATTTCATTGTGATTTTACTTTCTGCTAATAGTAATTCATTAAAAAGTATAAAGTTTTAAATTACACTTACTAAGAAATTTATAATGTTAATAATAATGTCATTTTTGATTTCTGAATTTCACATTTGGCATAACAAGTCACTTCCTAGGATTCAAGTTAGTATATCCAAGTGTACTCAATATTTGATAGTATACTTATTAAATTGATGTTCTCAAATTTGTTTAACATTAAGTTTATTTTTGATTACTAATACAGTGCTAATACAGTTATGTAGTAAATTTCTTTTTATGAAAAAGAAATTAACAGTTTTTAGTCACTACTTATCTTCAGTAACCCAAAGTTGGAAGTGTTTTGGACAAAATTTTGTATATCCAATTCTCAAATCAATTTTGTAAGGTGAATGAACAATATTTTATCTTTTGACTTTCCTTTCTTATATTGCTTTTCTTCTTCTTGCTTGTCTAATCCCTGTTATGTTCATTAAGCTTTTGTTTTCCCTGAATTACAACTTCTAGGTGGATCTGTTTCTAAGTTGGAGATTTTTTTAAGTCAGTACTCTGAATTTGGGAATAGAAAAAATGTAAAGTTAGATTTGTTTTGAATCCTTGCTGACAAAATGAACTTTCAGATAAGTTATAGAGATTTAGTCTAGAATAAATATTTTTGAGATTTTATGAAAATATGTTGCATAGTCAGTACTTCTTTATGCATTAAGCATTTATTTAGCTTTAATAAGGATTATAGTGTTAGTTTACTAGGTGAATCAACATTCTGACACAATTATTGATTAAGAATAAAAAGTTAATCATGTATTATAAAATATTTTTATATAAGTAAGCAAGGACATAATCCATATTTTCAATTTTACTTAAAATTAATAATATACTTAAAGTGTGATATTTTCTTGCCATCATGTTTATAGAAATCTATTTTCTCCAAATTTGTGCAGATTTTGGGATCTCACATATCAGTCAATCAAGCCAGCTAGCTTGCTTCCTTCCTTTCCTTTTTTCTGTATCCTTTCAATTATTTTTTTTATGTATTTGGTATAGGGTCTACAGGGTGTTCAGAGTCTCACTGTATAGATCAGACTCAAGTGATCCTCCTGTTTTCAGCCTCCCAAGTGCTGGGATTATAGGCTCACGCCACCATGCCCATTCTCAATCCCTATTTCAGTGTGCCAGGGGCCGGGTAGGGCCAGACTCTGTGCTCTGCCTAAGCAAGTACTTTAGTCGGCTGAGCTATCTGGGCGGTCCTCACCCTTTCAATTATGAAGTACATCTTTTTATAGACCTGGACCAGTTTTTGTCTGCTACAAATGTTTACACTATAGAATATGAAAGAAAAAGGCCTCGTATTTTTTGTCTGCTGAATTGTAGTGGCCAACATTGAAAGAGAATACAGGAGAGAAGCCTGTAACACAGGGAAAAGCGTGGACAGTATATATTTCTTTAAATTTGTAAATAGCCCTGTGAACAGTGAACATTTTATTTTATTTGAAAGAATCTAAGTTTTTAGTTTAAACCATGAGAAACAAGTGGCTGCAACTTCTCACTAGCTTTTGCCTAAATATAGTATTGAAAAAAATAACTATTTTCATTATCGTGTAAAAAAGGAACATTTTGAAAACAAATAATAAGAAGGCCTTAATTATATAAAAAATGGTACTGATTAAATTGATGAATGTAGGGCTGGGGAGATAGCTCAGTAGAATAAGCACTTGTCTGGTAAGTGCAAGGTCCTGAGTTCAATTCGCAGTACTGCAAATATAAATAAATATAAATAAATAAATAAATACATTGATGAATTTATCTCCATGAAAATAATCACTGCTTTGTGGTCTGTAACATTACTCCATGGACCTATGAAAGCTTTATTCTGAGCTACTTTTGTTGAAGAACTTGTGTTCCAGAATATAGTGTAGATAGAAATATTAACTATTTAACAATAGGCAATAAATGGACCTGGGGAGTGTATTGATCATCACCTTGGCTAAGTACTAAATTGGATAGTAAGAGAGTTATGGAAAACTTCCTGAGACCTTTAGGAAAAGATAGTTAATTATGTTTTAGATTGTTCCTTTCATTAAAGGAAAATATTTAGGTGATTCTATGGATTCCCACCCAATTTTGAGTACTCCCTCACTTTGCTGTATTTTACTTGTGCATTAATCTAGTATATCCATTGTAAGTGTTAATCTTCATGCATGTTGTTTTCTGAGGTTGTATTTCATAAAATAGATCATTACTTTTAATAGTAAGAAGCTTCTTTGTAGGAGACACCATTCACTTTTTTATTTATGGCAATGAAAGGAATTAGCTAATGAAACTTGATGCTTTTTGAGCTGATGTCACAAAGGACACTTTAATTATAAGGACACTTCAGGTAGTTCCCTGACATAGGTATCATACTTGTTGCTTATATATAGCAGTTCTCTCTTTGGCTATATATGATAGCTAAAACCTGACTGATGGTATAATTTTTATAATTATGTCTTTCTTCTCTCTCACATCATTGAAAAATTTATCCTTCAGTTTTGGAAATCTTACATGGGTATTTATTTTAGATGCATTTACCTTTCATCATAAAAGTGGTCACAGCTTTTTTTAGATAGGATAGTCAACAATGTATGCTTCCATGCAATCCTTTTATATTTGTCTATTTCAGAGAAAGCTGTATATACTTTTGGGCTGGGACAGTTTGGTCAGCTGGGCCTTGGCACTTTTATTTTTGAAACATCAGAACCCAAAGTCATTGAACAAATTAAGAATCAGAAGGTAACTTACATTTCTTGTGGAGAAAATCACACAGCTTTGATAACAGGTATGAATGAGATTTTTTTATATTGACAGTACAGGGTGTATTGTATTATAGTATAGTAATGAATGTATATAAGTGAAGGGATTAATAACTGATAAAATGAAATCTTTGATTAATATTTCAAAGTACAAAGTTGTAAACTTTTTATTATTTTAAATCAATTTAAAATTGTTGTGGGAGCTGGAGATACAGTTCAGTGACAGAATACATACTTAGTATAGGTAAAGCCTTGACTTTAGTCCTCCACACCAAAGGTAAGCCATTCCAGGATTTATAATGTGAAAATATAACACTGATACCAGAAGAAAAAAAAAACTATATTTTAGTAGAAAGCTGGAATCCTCTTGAAATTATTATCACAATGAAGGCTTTTAACTTTGCTCAAGCCAGAGGGAAAATATCTCACAAGAAAGAACTAATGTTACAATATTCTTTCTGTTTTAATCTGACAGGGCTACATTCAGCTGAATAAATTAAGATGCTTTTGCCACTGGGAGGTGCTTTAAGCATTGACATTTCCTTTTCTTTCCATTGTAAGAGAAACCTCAAAGGCCACTAAGTGAATGTATTGCCTACTGTCTTACTTCTTTATCCAGAGCTATGTTCCTTTGGGCTTTCTTCTCAGCTTCAGAAATTAAATGCTGCTAATATTGTAGGACTCAAGAAATTCTTTTTTAAAAAATTATTTTATTTTATTTTGAAAAGTAAAAGCAAAAGCAAGGACACAAATCAGAAACAAGGGGCTGGGAAGATATCTGGTCGGTCTAAATGCCTGCCTGGCAAGCTCAAGAACCCAGGTTTGATCCCCGGTACCTCATGCAGTGCTGGCCACCAAAACCAGGTGTGGTGGTACATACCTGTAATCAGAGCACTGGGGAGGCTGAGACAGGAGGATCACTACAAGTCTGAGATCTGTAGTCAGACCAAATAAATAAAGATTAAAAAGTGTTTAAAAAAGAGAAAATTCTTAAAATGTTTTAGTGATTTACCTTTAGTTAATTGATATACTCCACATATATAAATGCTTTTTTAAATAAAAGGGCCTGTAATTTCCCTATTGTTATCTAAAAGTGAAGTATCAAAAAGTCAGATATTGTCTAATATATTGAAATAATCCAAACTCTTGTATTTCTAAGTTTTTCATTCTTTTCTAAGAAAGCTCCTGCTAAAAGAGCGCTCATGTAATGGTATCTTGTTAGCTAAAAGTGGGAATCAGCAAGTATAAGCAGGGTACACAATTCCTTGTTCCTCACAGAACAACAGAGCACTTTAGAAAGGACAACCTACTCTGTGTCAAGAATCAGTGTTCTTGTTAATGTAGAATGAAGTAGCTTACTATGTTGAATATGAAGAGGTATTATTTATTCTCTTGTCTCCTGAGAATTGTTGGTATATACCCTTTACTGTGGAATCCTAGCCTCCATTTCTTTGTGTTATTGCCTTTTTCTTCTTTTTCTTCATAGTACCTTTCCTCCTAATGAAGAGCCCAAATAACTGAATCTTAACTTTGGCTTTTTTATATCATATATCCTCCTAGGGGACACCTCTTAGGGATTTTTCATTTAAAACTGATGAAAGGTGTGTAGTGAATTGTCTGTAAGATCTTAGCATTTTTTCTTATAGCCAGTGATTCATGTTTGAAAAAGCACACTGGGATTACAAATGCAATCAGGCATCTTAGGTAGAATTAACTTTTCAGGCAAACATAAACCAAATTAGAAAAGGAAAGTACAAATTAGAATTAAAACAGAAAAAATTACAAGTGATAATAGAATTTCACTTAAAGTAATATGAATTTCACAGTATTCGTTGTAATACATACTGTTGTCTTCCAACCAGTTATTTATATTATCAGATATATGCATATAAAATTGAGAGAAGACAGAAATGTATAAGAAACCAAGGAGAGGAAAAGTATGATCAGTTGAATAAAGGAGACAATTATCACCTCATTTCCATAGACCAACAGAAATGCACACTATAGTTGTCCAAACCATCCTGCTTAGAAATATAGGTACATCTCTTTCCCCCACTTCCTCTCCCATCCTTTTCCTCAACTCAGTAACTCCTTTCTTTTGAATAAGTTCGTTCCCTTTTCCCAGTATTTGTTGTACCCTTTAGATTCCATTTTTCTCTTTCAGATTCTCACAGTAAAGAAACAATACAAAGTTTGCATGTGTGAGTCTGATTTATCTCACTTAAGAGTATTTTCTCTAGTTGCATCCATTTATGGACAAAAGGGCTCATATTTATCCTTTTAGTTGAGTAATATTCCATTGTATAAAAATACTACATCTTCTTTTTTTTAAATTTTATTTATGTGTGTGTGTGTGTGTGTGTGTGGCCAGCTCAGCCCACCAGGGGGCGGGGCTGGCTGACATGTGGTGCTGGGGGATTGAACTGCGGTCCCTGTGCTTTGCTAAGCTTGTTCTAAGTAGGTGCTTTAGACCACTGAGCCATCTCACCAGCCCCATACTACATCTTCTTTATGCATTCTTCAGTTGATGGGCATATGGGTTGTTTCCAGGATTTAGCTATGACAAATTGTGCTCCTATAAACATGGATGCACATATATTGCTGTGGTATGAGGTTTTCAGTTCTGGAAAAATACCCAGGAGGGGAATAGCTGTCTTGAATGGGACTTCCAATTCTAGGTTTTCTTTTTTCTTTTTTTCCTGTATTTTAGGAAAGGGTCTACAGGGTGTTCAGGGTCTCACTACTAGGTCAAACTTGTGGTGATTCTCCTGTTTATAGCCTCCCGAGTGCTGGGATTACAGGTGCACACCACTATGCACAGTCTCAATTGCTGTCTCAGCATGCCCCGGGGGCAGGGCTGGCACCGCAGGCCCAGGGATCGAACTTCTGGCTCCTGTGCCTGCTTGCAGGTGCTTTAATTTACTGAGCTATTTGGCTGGCCCTAATTCTAGTTTTTGAAGGAATCTCTACACTGGTTTCCATAGTGGTTGTACCAGTCTGCACTCCCACCAACAGTAAATAAGGGTTCTTTTTTTCCCCACAGCCCCTCCAGCATTTGTTATTGGCTGACTTCTTGATGTTAGCCATTCTTTCTGGGGTGAGATGGAATCTCAGTGTTGTTTTAATTTGCATTTCTTGAATGCCCTATGATGTTGAACATTTTTTCATATATTTACTTGCCTTTTGTATTTCTTCCTCTGAGAGGTGTATATTCATCTTATATGCCCAGTTTTGGACTGGGTCTTTGACTTTGGGGGGCCTGCTTTTTAAATTTTTGTATGTTCTAGATAGAAGGCATTAGTCGAGGGACAGTCAGCTATAATTTTTTCCTAGTTTGTAGGTTTTCTTTTTACTCTTTTGGAGATTTGCTTTGAAGTGAAGAAACTTCAAAAATGGGGTCCCAGGGGGCCTGCCCCTTAGCTCAGTTCTTTAAGTGGCTGCTTCAACAAAGTAGTCAGGCTCAGGTTGCTGTGGTTCGATCCCCACAACTGAAGCCAGCCAAACCTGCCCTGAATGCATTGGGAGCAAAAAAAAAATGGGGTCCCAGTTGTTGATTCTTTGAATTATTTCCCATGCAGTTTGGTTTTTGTTCATGAACTCTCTATGTACCCCTCTGTCATTAAAATATCTACCTACATTTTTTCCAGAAGATTTTCTGTTTCTGTTTTAATATTTAAATCTTTGATCCATTTTGACCATAGTTTAGTGCATGGTGATAGACATGGGTCTAATTTTAGCCTTCAGAATGTGAAAAGCCAGTTTTCCCAGCACCATTTATAAAAGAGGCTATCTTTCTTCTAATGAACATGTTTGGCCCCATTAGCAAAGAAAGATAAGGTGGCTGAGTGTGTTTGCAGTTGTGTCTGCATCTTCTAATCTGTTCCTTTGATATTCAGGTGTGTCTATGCCAGTACCATGCTGATTTTATCACAGTAGCTTAATAGTATAATTTCAGGTCACAGATCATGTTCTTATAAGGCATTTTTGAATGGTGAAATCCGAGAGGGAAAAGTGATAAGGTATATATCTAATAGTAAAAATTATAAGACCCTTAAAGAGTGTAAATATTAGTTATCACTGTTAGTTTTTGTAAATTAATTTTTAACTCACCCTACTGATTATGTTATTGCCAATAATTTTTAATTAACTCTTAGGGGGCTGGCCAAATAGCTCAGCAGATTAAAGCACCTGCAAGTATGCGCAGGGGCCAGGGGTTCAATTCCTGGGCCTGCTATGCTGGCCCTGCCCCTGGGGCACGTTGAGATGGCAGTTGAGACTGGGTGTGGTGACACTTGCCTGTAATCCCAGCTCTTGGGAGGCTGTAAATAGGTGGATCAGTCTGAGTCCAATCTAGTAGTGAGACCCTGAATACCCTGTAGACCCTTCCCTAAAAATACAAAAATAAATGAATGAATGAATGAATGAATAAATGAATAAATAAATAAATAAATAAATAAATGACTTGTAGGAGTTTTCTAAGTGTACAGTCACTTTGCATTCTTTAAGCAGAAATCCCAGAGTGTGATCTAATCGTTTTTCAGTTTGAAACCATTCATCCAGCTTCTTACAACTATTACATGTAGTTGAGAAATTCATACTCTGAACTGATGTACCCTTCTGTTGTTTGGTTCTTTCTTACCTGTTCAGACTCATTTCATACCACTCTCTCTATTATGTTCTAGGCTCATTAATTGGCTTTCATCTTGCCTGAGCCATGTTTTCTGTTGACTCAGACACCTTCTATGTATGTACTGTTGACTGTTGTAGCTAAACCTTATTCATTCTTTAGGTTTTAATTTGAATGTCTGCCCTAATCCCCAGACTGGAGAGAAATCCCTTTCTCTTATGCCCTATTGGAATTCATTGTTTCTGTTTCCACGGCTCTTACTTAACCTGACTTGAGAAGCAACATATAGGGAGGGGCTTATAAAAAGTGTGAAGATTTAGAATAGTTACTATGGTAGTGGGCAAAAGGGCTAACTGGAAAGAAGTGACAAGATTATTCATTATTACCGGCTCAGCTATAGAGTAGGTCCAATTATTAGTATAAAGACTAGTCAGCATATTTGATTGGCTTATGGCACTTAGTATTCTATAGCCCAGGAGCCAAATTAATGAAAGAGACAATTTGGTCTAATGCAGTAGTTTTCTATAATTGGTACTTTTGTTTCCCCAGGAGAAGCTTGTGAAGTCTGGAGGTGTTTTTTTGATTGTCACAGCTGAAGGGAAGGGGGCATTGTGCTACTGGTGTATAGTGAATAGAGGGCAGGGATATTGGTAAACATCCTACAGGGCATAGAATAGACCCAACATAAGCAAGAATTTTGCAGTCCCAAATGTCAGTAGTGCTGTCTTAGTTACTTTTCTCATTACTGAGATGCCCAAAATTAAAGGAGGAAAGTTTTGTGGTTTGAGTTCCTAGTCAGCTCATTCCAAGGCAGAGTAGCATGGCAGAGGTGCATCACACTGGAGAAATAGGTCATAGTGTGCCAAATAGATGACAGAGATCAGAAAGCCTGCCTTCTTTCTGTCTCCAGACTATAAGCCTATTGATTGTGCCACCCATACCTATAAGCAGACTTCCATTATTCAGACCCTTAATCCACATTCACACACCCTAATCCAGCTACCATGGAAGCTTCCAACCTATGACCATATGAGGCCTGGGTGGGAAATCTAGATACAAACAATAACAAGAGATGAGATTGAGAAACTGATACATCAATTAATTGAGGAAAGAAGAAAATAGATTGTGTTGTGATGGGGAGGTCAGAATACAAGCATCTATTTCCCTTTGATAATATGTATATCACAGGATCCTGTGTTGTATTACTACTACCAAGTATTATACATTTATTCTCAGAGTATCTATTGCCTACTGTTGTATGTGAGACCATGGAGATCCTAGAGATTGTTAGATAATGAATCAGTGAATTCAATATGGAATTCAATGGGAGAATTATTAATTGCAGTGCAAATTAATTTATTTTTTTGGTTTACAAATAGAAGGATACAAACAATACTTGTATATTTTTCTTCTTTTTTTGCATTTTAGATATAGGACTTATATATACTTTTGGAGATGGTCGGCATGGAAAATTAGGACCTGGACTAGAGAATTTTGCAAATCAGTTCTTTCCCATAGTGTGCTCTGAATTCTTGAGATTTACAGTCCAATTGGTAAGAGTATTACATTCTCATTTTTACATTTCCATTTTGAGTCATTGTATCATAGAAAAAAGTTTTTATGTTTGTATGAAAGACTATCATGGAGATATGTATATTTAACTAATTGTCTTAAGAGTCACATGTCAGACATTATGTCACTGTAAAACATCTGTTCCTTTCTTAATTTTCCTCTTTTAATATATTCCTTTTTTTGCTAAATCTTAACTCTTTTTGCATTCACATGTCTTTTTAAAGCCAGACTGTGCCATCTCTGTAAACTTTAAAAAACATTATTGGTTAAATAATGAACTCACTGAAAATGAAATTAGGAATACAATACCTTTTACAATTAAATATTTAGGAATTATCCTAATCAATGAAGAAAAAGTACCCTTACAATGAAAACAATGGTATTCTAACAAAGAACATTTAAGGAAGACATCAGAAAATGAAACAGTATCCCCTGTTCTTGGATAGGTAGAACTATTGTAGTCAAAATGGACATTTCCAAAGTTGATAGAAATATTTAATACAATCCTAATCAAAATACCAACAAAATCCCTTACAGATCTAGAATAAGCAATTCTAGAAGAGACCCAGAATAGCAAATGTGATTCTGTGCAACCATTACAAAGCAGAGGTATCACAATCCCAGATTTGAAGTTACATTACAAAGCTACAGTGATTTAAAAACAATATGGTACTTGCACAAAAAATAGACATATGTTAGTGGAATAGAATGAAGATGCAGAAACATGCCGCTCTCTAATCTTTGAAAAAGGTGCTGAAAATATATACTGGAGGAAAGATAACCTCTTTAAAAAATGATGCTGGGAAAATTGCCACATGCAGAAATTGAGTCCAGAACATATATCTCACTGTATAATAAACTAAAATCAAAATGAAACAAAGATCTAAAAGCTAAAAAGAGAGACACTTTATTTGATAGAAAATAAAGTAGGTAAAAACCTGGAAGACATAGGCATAAGCAAAGACTTTCTAAGCCTTTCAGAACCCCAAATGCACACGAAGTGACCAAATGGGATTACATCAAATCACAAGCTTCTGCGTAGCAAAACAACAGAGTGAAGAGACAATTTAGACTAGAAAAAAAGGATTTTTTACCAGCTGTTCCTTGGTAGAGGAATAATAACAAGAATATATAAAGCACTAAAAAAAATTTAGACTTCCCAAAATAAAAGACTCAGTCAAAAAATTGGCAACTGAAATGAGTAGATACTTCTTGGGAGTATAAATGGCCATTAAATACATGAAAAATGTTAAATCTCTCTGGCCATTAGATATATTCAAATTAAAATGATACTGAGTTTCTATCTTATTTCAGAAAGAATGGTGATCATCAAGAAATCAAATAAAAAATGCTTGCAAAACTATGTGAAAAAGGACTTTTTTTCTTCTTTGTTGGTAGTACTACAGATTAGTATGACCAGTATAGAATGCAGAGTAGATGTTGCTCAAAAACTAAAAATAGAGGCCAGGTATAGTGGCACATGCCTGTGATCCTAGTAACTGAGAGGCCGAGGCAAGAGGATTCTCATGAATTTGAGGCCAGCCTGAACCACATAGAGAGACCTTGTCTTAAATAGAACAAAACAATACAAAGTACCCCAACAATAAAAATTCCATTTGACTTAGCTGTTGCCCTATTCCCTTTCTAGGTGAGCGAAAGACATCATATTACACTGGTACCTAAACAACCATGTTTATGGCCACACAACCTATAATAGATCTTAGAATTAACCTGTATGTGAACTAAGAGATGTATTAATAAAGAAAATTTAGTATGTATACACAATGGAATACTACTGTGTCATAGGGAATGATATATTTGAATCATGTGTAGGAAAATGAATGTACCTTGAGAACATAATGTTAAGAGAAATCAATCAGACACATAAGCTTAAGTGTAGTATCACATGTTTTCTTTTATATGAGAAACCCAGCACATAAATAAAGAGCAAAATAAAAGATAGATAATAGGAAATAGGGTCACATGTTTTTTACAAAAGCAAAGAAAACCAAGAGATGGAAGGAGGGGAGATGCAAGGAAGAAAAGTAAAAAGTATTTAAATGTGTGACACATAGAGTCTACCAACTTCCCATGAGGATTGTAATCATTTTGTTTTTGGGGTTTTTTTTAATAGGAATTCAAAATTGGTTATTTTTCATATAGTTGCCTTCAAAGTAGTTCAAATTACGAGATATAAGCATGTGAAATTGGTGAAAAAATTAACCATTAAATATTCTTTTAAATAAACCAGTAGAAATTAGTAGTAAGTTATTTGAATTTTGAATTTTTTGTTTGTTTTTTTTTTGTATTTTATTTAGAAAGAAGTAGCAATGAGACAATTTCAAAACAGGTTATAGGACAGTTACAATAATTAATACATTGCATATCGTCTTTGTAGTAGTTATGCATAGTACAAGATCCAGACATGATATCTTGTTTAAACACTTAGTTCAAAACTTCCTTCTCATTGAACTAGAGAAAGTAGCTGTATATCTATGCTAACTATTTTGTATATACGTATATATATTTTTTTTTCTCGTATATATATATTTTTTCACAACAATGTGGTCCTTCATAAACCAGAAGCACATGTGTAAATATCATATAGTCTCCTTAATGTAAGAACTAAAAAGAAGAAATACAAATAGAAAGGTATAACACAATTAAAAAGGAAAGCGAGAACTTAAGGATTAGACAATAAAAAGAGGGCAAGGAGAAAAGCTAGGAAACATGACAGGGGCAAAGCCATAAATCTCAAGTAAATTTTTTTTAAAGATGTTCCATCTTATGCCTAAGATGTTTGATATTCAGACAGATAGTGAGGTTAAACCCACCAGCATATGTTGTAGGACAATAATAAGCTTCTTTTCTGGAGGATTAACAACCTAAGTTTGCAGACCAAAAATTAGAGAAAAAGAAGGGCTGCAAGGACAGACAACATTTTGGCCCTAGCCTTTCAAGGTCAGTGAGGACTCAGAACATAGGAGAACCTGTACTGTAACATCATGTAACTCAGTTGTGCCCCAAATTTTCTGATCAAGGAGACTATGGGGCCACAGAGCAATGTGATCGTTGATGTAGTGTGTGCCTAAGGAGAGTCACATGGAGAGAAAACATTATCTCAGGCTTTCTCAGACAGCAAATTGTTCAAGCACAGGGTCTCAGGATAAATGCTGACGGAATTTGACTGACCTTATCAGATCCAAAAGCTACAATTCTTGTTACATAGGTCTTGTTTTATCTTGGTCTTAACCATCCAGCAAAAAAGTATAAAACGAAGTATAAGAAGTAAAGCCATGTTGTTATGTTGAGCTGTAGGGGACTCAGGTCAACAGCTTCTGACATTGCCAGTCCTGTGGGTAACTCACTACTATTGTGGACTTCTGGACTATATTGGAATATTTTGCTGAATTCATACACCTACAATATTTGGATTGTAGTGGAATTCCCATCTCTGACAAAACTGAACAAAAAAAGTGATATAAATGAAGGACAATTTTGTATCAGTATATACAAAATAGGATAGATATATAGCTACTTTCTCCTAATAAGAAGAAAGATCTTGAACATATACTCATAAGTGAAATAAACCAGACACACATGTGTAAATATCGTATAGTCTCCCTAGTATAAGAACTCCAAAGAAGAAATACAAATAG